GGGTGTCTATGTGTGTGCGGGCCGCGTGAGCGAACACCACACTCGCGTAAGTCATGACGGGCCTTATGCAAGTTTTGTAAAGTGTCACCTTGTTCCGAAGGGACATTTTACTCCGCTTACAGATCATGGGATAGAGTCTACCGAGAATAAATGCGGCACGGTCACGGACTGTTTTTATATGCGGACGGAATGTCATGGATGCATCCAGGGTTACTCCCAGGTACTTGACCTTCCTGGTCCAGGGTATAGGTTGGCCGAAGAGGGTGATCGGGGGTGTGATATTTCTCCTCCTAATGCGGGAGGAAATAAGCGGAGAGTTTCCCCTTTGAAATAACACTGCTGTGCTTTTCGCTGGGTTGATGTCTATGCGCCATTTTCGGAACCACTGTCCGAGGGTTAACGCTGCACTCTGGAGCTTACTCGCGATTAGGGACTTGTTTCTACTTGAGTAGTAAACGGTTGTGTCGTCAGCGAATAAGGCTAGCTGGGTCGGCGGCGACCGGGGAATATCATTGACAAATAAACTAAATAGGAGCGGAGAAAGAACGGAGCCTTGCGGGACTCCAGCCGTGAGTACAAAATAAATCTGATAAACTCAGACTGTCGCTAACGATAATTCTCGGATATTGTACAAACACATAAACTGTGTAATAATATTGTAGCCCCAACCAGCGTCGTGTAGTCTAGCACACCACCCGCTCAGTGAACATTTTTTAATATCTTTACATGACGATTCCACTAGTTTATATCAATGAGTTTAACACGTTGGTTGCGGCAAGTAAAATCATAAGCCTTCATCTGGTGCTGTAGCGGGTCGATGCGCCCCCAACGATAATTCCATCAATGCCTGGCAGGTCTTTCTCGGCCCACCAGCACTAGGGTAGATTAAAATGCTATAACTCTGTGGAAACATACTGTATACAATTTATAGTATATGGTTGGTGTCGAACTCTTAAAAACACCTAAAATAATCGGTCTGCACCAGCTGAAAGTACCGCGGCGGACTAAGATGGGCCTTTTCCGCAGTGAAGGGGTTAAGCAGGCTACCAGAGCTCGAAGACGTCCTCATCGATTTCCAGCGCTCACCTTGAGACGTGAGGGGGAAGCCTCGACAATGTTGCAATACAGTTCCATCCATTAGACGGCTTCGCGGCCGAAGTAATCGGTTCGGTGGCGCCGCCCGCGCGCCCGTGTGGCTTCACATGACGCTGCACCAGTACTAGTGCACTGTGCAGTAGCGAGCGGCCTTCCCGTTGTATACACGTCGCTTCATTATAACTTGTCAAACCTTCGGCACAAACATACACGATGTGCACATTTCTCAATTACCTATTATACGTATTTCTGATTTAATTGTTTCTTCTTCTTCTTCTTAGTCGCTTTCTTCATTGCTGAAGGTCGTGTCCCTGAAACTTGACCGTTGCCTGTCTCGTGAGCTGTTTCCATCTCGTCCGGTCCTCAGCTGCTCGAATGGCGGTTGCGACTGGCAACCCAGTTAGAGCGGTTACTTGATCACACCAACGGCTAGGTAATCGGCCGCGGGGTCTCTTTCCTTCTACTTTGCCCGTCACAATCACTTTGTCCAAGTTATCTGACTGTCGGCGGGCAATATGACCGAAGTAGCTGAGGATCCTCTGGTAACAGATTGTTGAGAGCCTGACTCGGATGCGAATTGTTTAAAGGACGTCATAATGTCACAATAAATTTCTACGAAGCAGTATGAAATTTCTCACACTTATACAGAATATAATGAACGAGTGCAAAATGCTAATATTTTTCGTAATTATGCATAAAAAATTCATTAAATAAATAAAGAAAACGTTACACATACTACCTACCATGTATTTGACACAACGCATTTACACATACATATTTATTGTAAAACTTTTGTTATTGTTGAAAGTCTGTGGTCAAATTGAGAATAGAATAATACTGTTTGTCTTTAATATTATTTGTCTATAGTGTAGTCTTGGCGAAATCTGTGATTATAGAAGTATATTAATGGTCTATTTCAATAGAATCATAATAGTATACAAACTTATAATTTCAATTAATTATAGTCGAATTTCGATTACGGGGGAACCACTAGTTTATTTAGTTGGACCAACAAAGTGATCATCACTACAAAACATTGACAAATTAACAATAAGTACATCACAGATGTAACCTCAATTACGCATTTGCAATCGACAGTGCAATAGTCGAACAACATTCTTCAAATTAGATAAGTAAAAACACAATGAGTCATTTTAAGAAATATGACATCCAGAATAATACTTTGTCAATAAGTAACAAAAATTTTAATATCTACACTTATTAGAAAAACAATAAGTATATTTAATTTTATAACTAGAACTTGATTACATTATACATTATATTGGTGGTTAATTATGATTAGGTTATATTTAGTTGGGAAATGATCTATTAACTTGAGATGTTTTATATAATTGTAAAACCGGGTCTTAGTTTATGTGCATTAAAAGTAGTTATTCCGTAGAAGAAGGAATGTGAAGGAAGGAATAATTAATGTAATACTGTTAAATTTATTAAATTCCTTCTCCTGGATCATAGCGCGCGATGCCCCGGGGTGTAGCGCGCACGCACAACACCCGTCGCTCCGCCGTTAATTTACCGTCAAGTGTGCCGTGCACATGACGTGGTGCTGGGGGCGGCGAGGGCTCTGTGGACAACGGCATTTAATAGCCTTTGTTATGCAATAACTTTGATCCAAGTTTCTTTTTCAAGCCGACAGCTTAATAATAGATATAATATATTACACTCTATGAACTCTGTCCCTACAAATGTTTTCAGACGCTGTGTTAAATTCATAACAGCTATAAATATGTATATATTTATTTTTAATTAGTAACTCACTTAATTATTTTTAATAATAATCTATTAATATTTTCAGGTGTGTTGATATTAATATTAATGCCTTTAGAAAAAAAGGTTTTAATTAAGTTTAAATTAATTTTATTTCACTGACTAGGATTGTATACTTGTAATTTAAGGGACAAATAAAAAACGATTTTAAAAAAAAACAGCGCCATCTAGGAAACTACATGTAAACTAATTACTGAGCAAGTTGGACAAAATTGTATTATATATTTATGTCACTAGATGTCACTGTAATAAACTTTAAATAATTTCATAAGAGCGTTAAACTAACTGAAATGAAACAGTTTTAATAATTGAACAATTTTAATTTATATTGTGTGTGTATTTAAGTGTTTTTACTACATTATATATTTCTATATATATCTTGAAACTGCATTTTTGTAGTAGACAAGTTAGTATACACCTACGTTTGATGATTTTCTAAATTATGATTTTTATGGCCATAGTAAACTAAAAGAACCCTAAATTTAAATTAAAAACCTGAATCAATGCAGTAAAAATGCGATTGAAAATCTTACAATTAGGTATGACAGTATTTCTCAATAGCTCCAGAGGTGCCAAGCGGCGCTAACTGTCAGCTAGATTTATAACTCCAATTAAACAATTTAAATGGCAATTGGCAGATTAAAACTCCATCTATTCTAGAGTAAAATAAGAGAAGGAAAAGGTTCAATAGGGTGGAAATACCCAACGGGAGACAGAGCCATTGTTTACTTATTCACATGACGTGGAGATTGGAGAATCGCCTGCCTGCTAGCTGCCTTCGCCCCATGCGGAACGCAGTCTCGCGAAAATTAGATAAAAAAATATCTATATACATATATGAAGGTACGTACTTAACAACTGTTCACGACTGACTTTGCGGTGAAGGAAGAACATTTTGTAATAAAAATGAAACCCGTTAAATTATAATATGCGTTATTATTATTAGTAGGACGACTTGTGAGTCCGCACGGGTAGGTACCACCACCCTTTTTTTTTTTTTTTTTTTTTTTTTTTTTTTNGAAGATGAAAATAAAACCAAATAAAACAAAATAAAACCACAGGCGAAGAAGAATAGAAAAGCGTGTAAAATAAAACAATGAACGGAAACAAAAGAAGAGAAAGAGACAGGGTAAAACTTAAGATCAATAAAAATAACCAAGGGACAGTAAAAACAAAACAATAAAGTAACAAAGAAAAGGGAAAAAAAAAAAAAAAAAAAAAAAAAAAAAAAAAAAAAAAAAAAAAAAAAAAAAAAAAAAAAAAAAAAAAAAAAAAAAAAAAAAAAAAAAAAAAAAAAAAAAAAAAAAAAAAAAAAAAAAAAAAAAAAAAGTGGAGGCCCACGCATCTCCAGAAGAACCACCCTTCAGCAGGTGAAGGGGGAGGAGAGCGTGTAGCCCCCGGTGATGGTTTTGGTCCGCGTCGCTCAATCTCTCCCGCCGTAACACAACGGGAGAGAAGGAGTGATGCCCCTGTGACTATTGCCCAGAGGCCCGTGATCCGCCACCTACGGACGCGCCCGGTCGAAGTCCAGCAACTCCCCCGCAGACGAGACCCACAGTACGCAGAGTGCGCACCGCAAGCCCGTCCACGACCGGGAGGTACCACCACCCTGCCTATTCCTGCCGTGAAGCAGTAATGCGTTTCGGCTTGAAGGTTGGGGTAGCCGTTGCACTGTAACAACTGAAAAAACTGAGAACCTTAGAACTCATATCTCAAGGTGGGTGGTGGCATTTACGTTGTAGATGTCTATGGGCTCCGGTAACCAGTTGACACCAGGTAGACCGTGACGTCGTCCACCCATCTAAGGAAAAAATATGTTGGAATTATTATTGTATTAATTAGCGGAAATAGTTTCGAAATTCAAACAGAATAATAACGATTGGTAAATATTTACACAGCATAAAAGCTAACATGGTCATTCAAGAATATTCAACTTATTCAAAGAAAAGTTCAACATTTACAGAAGAAAAAATGGTGTTTTAAATTTACAAATCTCAAAATCCAGAAAATGACCTTTATTAGATAAACGTATCTTCCACTTACAATCTATACCCAATTTATATATATTACAAATATTTAAATCATGATAAACGTACGAATAATGAAAAAAAAACACAAAATTAAAAAGTCCTTTAATATTTAAATTAAAATCGCAAATCACAGCCAAGAGCTACAAATACAATGAAAACTAAATCATCTTCCCACTTAATAACTACCAATTCTTGTACCTACTTTATAATTTTGCGGAGCCCAAAGAAGATTTCACACCGAAACATTTAAAACACTATCTCGAAAACCATGTTCTAAAATCTAAAGGATTGAACACTTTCAATGTAACCGCTTGCCTTTTTTTACTTTCCTTCGACTTGTACAAGAAAACTCCTCTGATATCCGATCGACAGCTATAGCCAAGAACAGTCTCATCTCCAGTGCAATTTTCTCTTTCTAACTCCCGCCAGCTCTCACATCTTCTGCCTGTAAGTGAATTTTCGTTCACAACAGACGCAGAATATAATTTCCAGGCTTGAGCGTGATCGCATTCAAAGGTGATACTCTTATTTCTACATTCCGGCTGCTTCCCGGACAGACCGTTGATGTAGACATCTACATGGCCGGTCGCCTCTTCGACTCCCAGGACCCCGGTGCTGGCGTGAATTACTTGCACGAATAACGCATCATTTTTCTCAAGTTTATTGTCGGTTCTCGCGAAGCATGGCCGTGCGGGGTCCAAAGCTGTGATCTTACCGAATTTACTGTACAGTTTGGAGTGAACCAATCTGCCAGCAGCGCCTGCCACGTGAGCACCTAAACTGAAGCCGACAATATGAACTGAAGCCATAGGAAATCCATCTTGGTGTAACTTCTCCATGAAGGAGAACAAAGAGTTCGATATGGCTGTGATTCGTGACGCTGAGTCGACGTATCCTCTGCAGAAAGAGAGGCATGTGTCTAATAGAAATACTACAGTATTCCTCTGTAGTAAAGAGTTCACTATAGCCACAGAAGACTCATCATTAGGCGTGTTCCACCACCCTGGGATGTAGAGAACAAGGTTTTTAAGTTTCATGGGCCTGATTTTAAGATGAGCTTTGGTAAGCTTATACGTTCGGCGTGAGGCTTTCATGAATTCCACTACGTCCAGGTGTGAAGACTCGAGGGTCACTTGACGCGAGAAGAGAATATTCAGTGGAAGCACTTCACCTGCAAAAGTAACAAGGTTCTCATGAAAATAAATCTTAAGTTAACTCAATAGTAATTCCGTTTTCCACTAATTCTATTCTTTCAAACTTACATATTTTGGTCCAAAGACATTCAGACAGATGAAGGTTTTCAACCAAAAAATAAATGGATACTATTAATATCGTAGAGAAGAGTAGCGACCAGAGCGTCCTACATACCTATATAAGTGCCTTGGGAGGAGAGATTTGGCGGCATCATCACTGCTCATCTTTGAATTTGTCGTGTGTCTGTTTATTTAATGATTCTTAACACGATTACATTAAAGTCTGTATTCTGTACTGCACTTAATGAATGGAACATAATTAAAAACATTGAAATATGAGCTTCCTAAAACGATAAAGGATACAGATACATTGAGCAAATGAATGTTCTCCGCTAACATTAACGTTTATTGAGGTACCACGTATCGCAAACTCGGAATATCTGTCAATGAATTCTACCGGAGTCCATTCACGCTGCACACCTTGCAGCTCTGGAATGGACAACTTCCCATGGTGTTTCCCGAGCGCCATCATCATCAGCATCACTGCTGGACATAGGCTTCCCCCAATCCACACCACTGACATATCATTATTCAAAAGTTTGCGGCGATGGTTATGACCGATGGTAGGCACTTACGATCAACTGGGCCGTACACTCTTCGGCCTTCCTTGCCAATAGTTTAAGCATAAAATTTTTGCTTATGTTTCTCTCCAGACAACAGAGACAATGCAACTGTTGTAATGACAGACGTCTACAGATTTAGGCTGTTGGAATGGTCTGATCTTACGGTCACAACTGGATGCGACATGCAACACCACTCACTAAATAGCGCTATGTCAACCGACATAAGAGTCGCGTATAGAAACTAATACACAGATATATTTGATCAAAATACGTCTAAAATTTCACAAAATATTGAATTTGATCTACAATACGATTTCATCAAAATATTACCTAATAATTAGACAGCAGATGCACGCAGCTAAATCTTTTTTATTTTTTATTTTTTATTGCCCTTGTAGGCAGACGAGCATACGGCCCACCTGATGATGAGTGGTTACCGTTGCCCATGGACTTCAGCAATGCCAGGGGCAGAGCCAAGCCGCTGCCAAATTCGAATTGTTATTGAAATAAAATAGTAAATGATCACGTACAAATGAATACATGACGATGCATGTTACATGTGTTCCGAAGTAGAGGTTGTAATGTTTAGGACCTGTTACGGTTGAGGTCGATGCAAATTGTTCGTGACCAATTTGTGGTGCGATGTTGTGGAATAACGACGCGTCGACAACCAACCGACGATTAAAACCTCAAACAATACAAATGTCAGAGAAAAAAAGAACGAGGGATGAGATAGCAAGAAAGTGAACTCCATTATGTCGAAGACAGAATAAATAATACGATTGGCAATTTCTTGTGGATGCTTTTAAGTAAGCTATGTAAGATGTCACGTTTAAGTGACAATATAAAGTTATTTAGTAACAGAGATCCTACTTAAACCTAGTTTTACGGTTTAATCTCGTTTATACATTTTTCAGACGTTCCGAATACTTTACAGTTTTCGTGGTTACGGACGACACTGAGTAAGTTTAATTATGATAATAAATAAAAATAGAAATCCTTTTACCAATTGTTGCCTTTTCAAAAAGTCAAGCAAGCAGAAGTCTTGTTATTTTTGCAATATATAGTATTTTACCAACCCCACATCTTGTGATAACAACAAAATATTATGGCCTTTCTTTTACGTAAAAGATACAATATAAAATAATAATATACCTCCATAATGAAAACAAATCGAACGAGCCAATAAAACACATATCTATACCTAAATGCTTCTGCCTATATTTGAGTAGACTAAATAATATTGCATTACAGATGAAATTCGACAGCTAATACCGACTCCCAATCTCAATACAACTCTAAAACTGATATATCCCTAAATTTCCGTAATTTTTTGAGTATTCGTAAATTTACTTAACAGTGTATAATAAGTCGCAAAGGAACTTGGAAGATTAAGCCGTCCGCTGATTTTCTATGAAGTTAACTAAACAGTGCTTAATTACTATCTGTCTACATGTCATGACACACAACAAAACTTATATCCGTTATTCCCACCACTATCACTCAATTTGTAATCACAAAATGAACTAAACGTGAAAGCGTTAACGATTTATTAAATAATCCTCACTAGCAGAGCCCGCTGTAATTGACATTTAACACTAACGAAATAGATTACAATGCGAATGTGACATACAGGTCTGCGAGACAGTCCTGAGGAGTTCGTCGAAGTGGTCGGCCAACAAGCTGGGCAGGAGCACGGCGAGGCAGCAAAGCGCCGGCCTCCACATCGCGGTCCGCTCTTACATAACACGTGCGCCCCGGACACTTATGCACTGTTATATGGCACTGCAGTGATGGACGGACTCACGCCGAGTCACTATCGAAAATTATAATTAATGTTTTTTACTAGTTCTCCTTGGAATTGTTTGGGAAAAATAATAGAATGCGTTGGCTTAGTTCGTAAAAAAATACATACATACAAATAATATTACGTTACTCATTTTCGATCTGTTGTAGATGTAAGTGAGCGTCTATTCTCTTTTTCCTTTTTTAATAATGTAATACAGCAATATGTAGGAGTGATCCCTGTCCAAGGTGCGAAGTGGTCGGTCAAGTGGTTTTTTTTCATACCTATGCTGATAGCCTTGAGAGGCTATATCAACGTTACCCTAGCGTGTAGGTGAACCTTAGCAAGAGCAGCGCTTCGCAGAATCTACCACCGGATCGGAAACGCGACCAGCTGAGAAGATCAGGCGAGAAACTCAGTGGGAGCCAAGTGGTCTGTCATGGTCTGTGCAAGTGCAGCGTTCGCTCACGAGGCCCATATGAAGATAAACTTTCTCCAGGTCATCCAATTTTGTTCCTTCAGGATAGCCGTTGGAGCACCGCTGGAAAGCTTTAAAACACGTTTTGCTATCAACATTTGAGATAAAGGAGCATTAGATAAGAAAATCAGGTAAAAGCTTCCATGTGGGACGATGTTAGTAGCGGTATAGGTAATAGTTCTAGGAATCCGGAGGTACGCTGTATCTTCTGATGGATAGTCAAACAAACTGCTATCATGTCACATCCCCTTGCAAGATCTTCATCGATCTTTGTTTGGAGCGCCATAATCCCTAAGCCTTATGAAAACCAATCGTTTCGTTTGTAGGTACATAGGAAATGGTGTCGTGAACGCAATCGACAATCGTCAGGTCGTTAACATGAAATATTAATGAATATGTCAGTGTTAAAAACTAAAACTACCTATGATGGCATGTGCAGTATCTGGACCTCCTACTTCTCGGATTAGGGCCGCTGGACGATGATCGTTATTATTTTGCACTACAGGATTAGGTACAAATAAAATCAGCAACGATTTCTCTACAACACTATCGATTGTGACAACGAGCACATCCCTAGTCTGCGCGGAGAGACCTTCACATAGGCGCATCTCGATTTAATTTCACACTGTGTTATATCATTTAACTTAATTCGATGTTGCATCTGTTTGACAATACGAGACCTTGTCGACATTTCGTTAGTGACACACTGTTGAAGGATCTTCTAGAGTAGCAGTTATATTGTTTAAAATTGTTAATTAAATTAGCAGATATAGGAAGCTATTTAGGGCCACAAAGCGCCCTAGCACCGGTGAAATGGTTATTTGGAACGAACCTAATGTAGTTTCTATAGCCGTACACACACAACGGGATGTGAATACACAAGTAGGTGCTCAGTTTCGGCAGTTCGCTAACGGTGCGTCGACCTGGCAAGCAGTTCCATTTTAATGGTTGCTCATCTGCATCGGGTAAAATTGTCTTTTGAATTCAACTCGTTTACGGCTCAATGAAAATACAATGAATAGAAAGTTTTGGAACGAAGTTCCTTATGGGACGATGCGGAGGGGTACCCTAACCGGGAAAAAACGTCCGTAACGTAAGATTTTTATTATTTATGTATAGTTTTAGTATGAGGGCTATACAGTGTCTAATATAGTCTACGTGATGACGGCTGTTATTATTATTCATATAAATAGCTGTTTCTTTGTATGTTATTATTATATATTTTTTATTAATCATTGTGAATAAAATAAAGATGATAAGTTTGTAGTTTTTTTTTATGAATAAAAAAATCATAATAATAAATGTATACCCGAATAATTATTTTCTTTATATCTCGAATAGAACTAAAAATTAATATTTTTATAATAAGGAACTTCGTTCCTATCCGGCGTCCCACGACACCACACATCTTTTTGTTTTAACGAATGCTAGGATTTAGATTGTTAAGTTGGTCAAGTGGCTAGCGACCCTGGTACGAGAGGGTTCAGGTTCGATATCCGACTGAAGTCAGCACATTAGTTAAGTTATTACTAGTTGTTTTGGTACTCAATCTTGATCGATAAAAAGATTTCTTACTGATTCTATTTCCACCTGGGACGTGTATGGTTCAGCGGAAGTTTGTATTAGTTTCCAATTTAAAGATTCCACATAGCATTGTATTGTCCGGGTGCTAAACAAACAATGGTCCAACACTTCGACCCTTGGGATCTACTGTTGCGGTTTAGCATAATGTCGCTTCAAGATAATCTTTATACCTTACCTTGTTTTTATTATTTACGTCTTGCAACGATTCCGACAGAATTATATTAATGTTTCCTAAGAAATCCAAACAATAAGATAACTTTGTATTTTTCGAGGTCAATTAACAAAGCTAAGTCATTTTTATTAATTTTGTTTACTCGGCACAGAGTTCACAGCCAACGTGATGTATAAAACGGTGACCGTAATCACAACGGCCGTCTGGTGTAGTCGTAAGTGACATGGTCACTACACAAGGGGGTCGCGGGTTCGAATCCCGCCAAGGGAAGATATTTGTATGATAAATATAAATGTATTTTCCAGGGTTATGGATGTATATTAAATATATGTATGTGCATAATAAAAATCTTACATTTATTTCCGTTATCTGGTACCTGTAACACAAGTTCTTTACGAACTTATCACGGGAGCAGTTAACGTGGCGTGATTGTTTAAAACTGAAACTGAATACTGGCGGTCTTGTGTAGAAGTCCCGTTGGTAATATTGATACTTCACCCTTTGAACAGGCCCGGTTGCGGTAGATACGACGACAACTATGGTATTCGTGTATGCAGCTTTCAAATATCTCCAACCGCCATTAAATTAGGCAGGAAAAACAATGGTTTAACCAAAAATTAGGAAGCGAGATGGCAATCAGGTACCGAATAGGGACTGCTGCTAGGGATGATGTCTGTTATTGCCTGAAGAATATCGGATAAGTTAATATCAGTAATCATTATTATCAAGACCGTCAGATTAGTCTTTTAGATATTTACTGACGTCATAATGCATTTTTTTTAAACGATATTAAAGTTTAAGGAAACGCAGTGGCCTTTATGAGCTATTAGCATTTAAAGTGTATACATTAATTTGTATAATTTCATAAGCCGCCATTAGCGATTGTGCGCGTCACTGAAAACATCACGTTTTTTTAAAGATATTTTAGATAAAATTAGGGTTTCGCGCGTAAAATAATATTAGAGTTGATGACACGACTTCTTCGTATTCATTCCACTCTCTTGTTCGAGACATCTATAAAAGTTTTTTGAAGGCCTTTAGTAATTTAGCGATACACGCGCACAGTACCCACCCGGTGGTTGGCTGCGTCCTCACATCATAAAGGAGTGTAGAGGAAGAGACTTATCTCAAAAATTAGTAACTATTTCAGTGTGTGCTTAGCTAAGTGCGTAGTATTATTGCCACCCTCGGATACGTGTCTCATAAACCCTATACTGTTATTAACAATCATACGGAACCACTAATATTTATGTGTTAGCAACTTCCTTGCTTCTGATTAAAAATTACTTCATACTCTGTGAGCGCAATGACTAGACGCTCTAAAGGTTGTATTCGGAAGTTAATTGTTCATTTTATTATTAACTACCTAAATATTCGGCTTAAAGAGCGTAAGAACTCAATTAAATGCTTACGTCACGGTTTGTGTATTTATTTTTGTTAGCTTACGTTAGCAAAACGAGTAGGTCTGTTTTAACTGCGCGTTTTAAAAAACCCAGTTTTTCGAAGTATTGAGGTAGTAACTTAAAAAAACATAAAAGGAAACAAAACAATTTGAAAAGTTATCTTGTTGACAACTTTTTCCAATGAAATCTCACGTGCGTTATCTTCGGACACGTTTTGAGTTGATCTTGCATTTACAGCACGTTTTATGTTCAACTTGACAGCTACTATAGAGATCAAAAATTTTTAGATACGGACTGGGTAAATGTGAACTTAAAACAATGGTAGACATCGGCTTGGCTATCCTCCTTACATTGTTGACGTTCAATAGCAATGGTGATCACTCACCGTCAAGTGAGCTATATGCTCGTCTGTATACAGTGGCAATGAAAGCTGATGGAAAAACAGCTTCACGCGTACTTTTAAAGCAACAACAACTAGTTTCCTACTGAATATATTTGTATCGAGTTGCCTTTATGATTACTAATAATAATAAAATTTTAACTGTTTAAAGCTTTCATGAGCTGTCAACTCAACTGGTGTTAAGTGGACACTGAAACTTCCAAAACCTCCGAAAGCACAACGTGAATGCTTTAATCCACCTCGACTTTTTTTTCCTACCTATGCTGATAGCCTTGAGAGTCTATTTCAGCTTCTCCTTGAGCTGTAGGTGAGCTCACGGGGCTCAAACCGGAAGTGTTGCTAACACTGGCCCTAGCAAGAGCAGTGCTTCGCAGAATCTACCACCGGATCGGAAACGCGACTCACTGAGAAGATCCGACGAGAAACTTAGTGGGCTGCAGTTGGTTTTTGTACTATACGCTAGATGGAGGTAGTGAACCTCTGTGGTCGCAAAGACTTAGTTTCTTCACATAATTATTTAATACGTTCGCTTAATATTTTATGTTCATGTTACTGTACTTTGAATGTTATAGAAGTTGACGCGTTGAGTTTATTATTTCGTCGTCGCGGATACAGATGTAGCTACATTAACGACATATCGCACATACGGTTATAAACTCACTTATGCAATTTTTATTAACACTGAACTGAGTATGAGAAATTACATTTTGTAATAGTTATTAGTGGGACGAGAGAGATGTTTGCTTTTACTGATGAAGTTTGTAGTTCATATTTCTATAGCCTAGCTGAACTATATAAGAATTATATAATAAGATGTTGAATTTTCCAACGCTTCTCATGAAAAATTACATTATTTGCATATGTGTTCATATCGCACCGTATGTGCGATATGAACACTTCTATTAATTGTATGCTCTGTGCGCCTCCAAACACAATGTACATTTTAAAATTTAAGTTTAATGTTTTATTTAGTTTTTGAACGAATGTTCAATTCTATCTGCATCCGGCTGGCACACGTTGTTTTACTTTCCCGTACATTAGTATGAATCTTGATCGGTGTAAATGCTACGCTTGTGTTGTTTATTCTTCAACATCGTATCTCGGCCCCTGAGCTCAACCGCGCTTCCCCACAAGATACTTAGAGCAACGAAGGTCGGAGACAACATCCTGCCTGCTTCTGTGAGGAAGCAGTCATGCATTCCAACTCATACAAATACAACATACTCACTGAATTCATTAACTGTTTTTTTAGAGATACTAAACATACACTTTAACAATATTATTATAATAACCGATAGATTGATATAATAGAGACTGATATAATACTTCTTCTTCTCCATCGTAGCTACACTCTTGGCAGGGTTGCGGCCTCCACCTGGTCACACTACCTTTGAGTGAGATCTGTAACGTGGTCTGACACATATACTAAAACTTATATACATGCGTCTAAATATACACATATTGAACACTCGGACAAAGGCCAATATCACTAATTCATTTTTAAAACATATATTTGGCGTTAAAATAATCAGAACAAATATGTGTTTTATAACAATGAAAACGGCCTCGTGAGTATTCGGAAGTAAATCCGATGTTCGACTTTGGGCAAACAATAAAAACACTATCTATAGTTTGAATGTTGAGTCTGGCGTAGTCACGCGTGGCACGCTTCATTTAATGTTTCAAATCTAATATATAAAATTCTCGTGTCACAATGTTCGTTCCCATACTCCTCCGAAACCGCTTGACCGATTCTCATGAAATTTTTTATGCATATTCAGTAAGCCGGAGAATCGGCTACTATCTATTTTTCATACCCCTAAGTGATTAGGGTTGTCCACCCCTAACGTATTTTTTTTATTTGGACATTTTTTTGTTATAATGAGGTATTATGTGGTTGAATGAGGTTTTGTTATTTTTATTATATATTCCCTCATCTTTCACAGCACTACATACCTCACTCATTTACCACATCCTTACACACTTACAATAAGTTAGTTTTTTTTTTCTACATTAGAAATTCCCTAGAAATCTTATATATGGCAAAACAATGTTTGCCGGGTCAGCTAGTAGTAAGATAAAATAGATAGTAAGGACAACAATAAAGTTTACCTACCTAACCTTAAAAGTACTAACCTTTTAAGTTACTTAAGATTTATTTATGCACACTTTATTGTTTTTAAAATGAAACTTATATTATATCGAGGGATATGCTATTTTGTTTAAGCAAATTATTTGCAACTTTACAGGAGAGTCATTTAAAGTTTAAAAATTTAGAAAAAATATCATGAAACAATAAAACTTCTTCAGCTATTTGGATGAAGTAATCTCAATTGAAATCCAATCAAAAAAGTACGAAAATAACTTTGAATCGTGTGCGCTCTTTTAATACGGAACTCAGTGTCATTTTGAAGTCAATTATTTTTTAGTAATTTGTCTGGTTTTTTTTTTACTGGTAGTAGAACCTCTTGTAAATCCGCGCGGGTAGGTACCACCACCCTGCCTATTTCTGCCGTGAAGCAGTAATGCGTTTCGGTTTGAAGGTTGAGGCAGCCGTTGTAATTATACTGGATACCTAACTTGTATCTCAAGGTGGGTGGCGCATTTTTGTTGCAGATGTGTATGGGCTCCAGTAACCACTTAACACCAGGTGGGCTGTGAGCTCGTCCACCCATCTAAGCAATAAAAAACAAAAAAGTCAGGACGAATTACTCGTATGTATGCGGCTGGACTTAACATCAAAGTCTAGTCTATAGCTGTAACTAATGCCAAATCATAAACAGTAGTGACCTCGCCGTTGATCTGGCGGACGAGGCTGTCTGTGGGCAGACTAGGTCAAATGTGTTCCGTCTTTTAAGCAAATTTTCGAGTTTACTTTTTAAATTTGCTTATGGCTCGTCGGCGTTATTGAATACGTTCTTCATACTTTCATTCTCAAAGCTACAAGTTTGGCATTGTCGCGTACACTTGTTCGATTCTAAAAGGTGTTTGGTGACGCTTTTAGTTGTCGTCAAAAACTACTCAGAATTTATTCTTCAACAAACCGAATTCTTTCCAGTTTTGATTAGGTTTTTTTGTCTATTTTTTTTAGAATTTCCACGTAATATTTGAAAAGTTAGAGAGAAGTAAACACTTACGACCTAACAACTATTTAATATTTCAATTGATACCGGATATAAGGGAACGCTACCCTGATGTACAGAAAGTAATATTCTTAATTCATAAAATATCACGTAAAATATGTATTTAAATTAAATGAATACTTAGATAAGTCTGAAAGGAATTTCGTTGGTCATTTGTTTATTAATCGCGTTGTGGAGGTTAAACTACAATGTTGTCATTGACATTTTTATGAGACATTATTACATAATTTTAAGTAGTTTGAGAGTTACGAAGCAATGTATTTATTTTAACAAATTACTATATCATTTAATTTATGTTCTGCTATATTAACAAGATTTCTCTAAATGATCTCGTGATGATAGAACGATTTTTACGATGAGAAAACACCGTGTAATGAATAAATCCCGTGGTTTTTATTGAACACTAAAGCCGGCATGAAATGCGCACAGAAACACACAAAGAGGCAAAAACAAAAACAAAACAGTTCAGGGCTATTTTCTCCTCAACCTATCGACATCATGTAGGTTCTAAGGTCTCAGTATAGTTACAACGGCTGCCCCACCCTTCAAACCGAAACGCATTACTGCTTCACGGCAGAAATAGGTAGAGTGTTGGTACCTACCCGTGCGGACTCACAGGAGGTCCTCCCATCAGTAAATAAAAAGCAAAGAAAAAAAACGTAATAAATGTATATGATTCTAAACCTTGAGGTATCAGTGATTATGATCGGATTTCGCTCGCTCATTAGACGAACACTTGTCTAAATAATAAGACATTGGTTCGGTTTCAATTTGTAGGTTTCTATACTTTAAGTTTGCAGTTTTTTAAACCTAAATAAACAACGTAACTCACCTTAATTATTTTCATATCCATAATCTGACTACAGTGTGTGTGTGTGTGTGTGTGTGTGTCGTAAATGCAGTATTTAGTTTTAAAAATTAGCGGAACTGACCACACGTCGCTGTTGTTATCGCGAAATATTCAATGACATATACACACTAGTTGAAACTACTGGGTGGAGATCCAGTCGTCTGTGCACTGCGCTATGCAAGTAACCTTTCCTAAAGTATCTGTGCTGAACTTCAATACAATCGAATAAACAGCGGGCGGATGCATAGAACAAACAAATAAGGCCACATTCTTTTATTTTCATAAATTAATCTGTACGAGCAGGTAATGTTTAAAAGGAAGGGTATAAATTCTATACTGCTATATCTATTAAAATCTCAAACTATTGAGTAATTATTAAAATGCTCGAGAAGTCTGTAAACAAAATACCAAGGTCAGTGACCTTAACCTATTGATACAAAGCGTGTTCACTTTATAAAAACTATTTACTTTTTTTACATACAGGGCGTCGAACGACATACGAGGGGCTCGCGGGCTATGAGGGATTCCACTATCTTCAGATGTAGGGAGCAGACAGCGAGCCTAATTATGTTTTTAGGGTCCTGCCCACTAAACGGGTGATCCGGGATACCCCGCTAGGTCAGAACTAGCCTGCTTAGTGGGAACCTGATGCACCGCTGATCGTGCTGCTCTTCCACAGTATGTGCGGGAGATGAGGGCGGCCTCGCCTCCAGACCCTTCCTCATGGTGCAAGTGCCCTAGAGTGACGGTAGCCTACGATGCAGCCTCAACCCCCTCAGGTCTCCCCTCGACCATCACCGGAAGGAAATTGCCTCCTTACAGATACCGGAGCTGGACAGACGACCTTTCCCAGACCCCAACTCGGTGATGGCGGCACGGCGCCGAGAGGGAAGAAGAATTTTTTTCAGTATTCATCATATTTAAAAAAATAGCATAGGCAGTTGGAGTTAGGGGTGAGCCCGTGCGGATACAAAGTGGCTTTCTTTCTGCCTGTTTCTGTTTTGAGGGCAGGGATACCATTGTTCTAATCAAGATAAGACATTATGACTTGGTAGTCGCCTAAAACCGATAGTGATATAGATAATGTAGTTAGTGCTCAACGGCTGTTATCCTAAAGTTGAAGTCGAAGGTGGTATCAATCCAAATGCGGGTTCATGCCAGGTTCTACTACTCTACCAAGCCCCATCATAGGGGGAAGTGGCGTATTAAAATTAGGCAAGGATGTCATTACTACAGCACGACTGAGACTTCAACCTAAGTCCCAAGATGGATGGTCACATCATCAGCTCTAGCAACATTAAAAAGCCCGACTCTGGCTGTCTCTGCATATCACATAAAGATCCCGCGTCCTCAAATTGGTTGATTATTGAAAAATACTAAATTGCAGTGGAAAATACCCTGAATGAGGTAAAATCGCTCCAACAAGCCTATTATACGATACAATAGCCTATTACAGCTACGTCATGTACTTCAGTTAGTATAAAATGCAATGCTGTCTGAATTGTGGTCACAAGATGAGTTCTAAGGAAGTTCAATGGGTGCTATTAATGTCCGTTTTTGTTCATGTTTGGGGATATCCTACTGTGAGTTACTAAATTTCTTGAAAAAATCTCTTAAAATGAATACTGACACTGCGAGATTGTTAAAAAATAAGACGAAATCGTAAAACTAGTTGTAATTACTCTAATAATAATAAAATGGTGTTATCAAGTAATGATCTTCGACAGCCTTTCCGTGAAGGGGAACCAAGATCTCCTCATGCGGTAGTATCAGACCTGAACTCTCGTTTGGCTTCCCATACGCCTCGTCTGAAAGCTCAGGAGCCTCGGCTACCGCTGCCGAGTCTTCAAGAACTGGAGGCCATTAAGAAAGTCGCACAGATCCTCATTATGTTAGGAGACCAGGTACGTCTCGCTGTCCATTAATAAATCCCATAAAACAAAGCAACTCGATTTAGATCTCAGATCTTGGTAACTTATTATTAGAAATAGGCTCACAGTCTCACGGGCGCAGCTGTTGAGCAGCCACCGGAGTCCACAGATAGCATACCGTGGAAGATCTCACCCACCTTGAGACATCAGATTTGAGTCTTATTGGTATTATAATAAAATTTCGAGAAATTTCTCTTCCGCCCTCTGGACGTGAATGCATGATTGTTTCATGGCAAAAATAGGGTACGCTCTCTTTTCGCTGTATTTCTATTTTTATATTTCGGTTTAGAGAATGCATAAAGAAAAGTCAAGAGATATTAAAAATTCTTAATCTGATGTTAATAAGCATTCATGTAGGATCAACAGTGTTGGAATAAAACGGAGCTGTTCATTGTTATTAACCATATGAAAACTGTATGTACCCTCCACAGTAGTTTAAATATCGAGCGGGTCATCTAGAGCGCCTACCATTATACACATGGCAAATTTACTTCTAGGTAATACCCGCAATCATAGGTGAACCTCCGAAGCACCTCCAGCCGCCTGGCGGCGTCGACGTCCCAAACGACCCCGTCAACGATAAACAAGATTAACTTTAATGTCACTGTTTATAGTTCATTTTTCTTTAAGGTTTTTCATTTAATTACGCTCATGTTAATAAAGTTTATAGTGTAAATCTCATAAGTATAGCTAAAGATAAGAAAAATAACAGCTTAAGTGGAAAAAAATAGTTTAAATTGATATTCTATATATAAAGAAATTGTAATTAATGATATTTAAATTTTGAACATCACTTATTCCGTAGATAAGTAAACTACTTTAATCTGATTCCTGTAATTCGTGGAAAGACATTGTCTCTCTCTGGGTAAGACAAGTACTTCGTAACTCACGAATGACTCCTGTAATATCGTTTTTAATGAGATCACATTACTTAGAACGACTAAAGTAAAGCTCAAGGAGGCGAATGAGCTACATCCACACCAAGTACACTCTAAGTTTTGTGAAACTAAGTGCCTTGTAAATTAAATGAATGTGTGATTTGCTAATAACAAGTACAAGGCGCTGTAATTTAGCATCAAGATTTTGCTGTTAATTTTTTTTATTGCGTTGATGGGTGGACGAGCTCACAGCCCACCTGGTGTTAAGTGGTTACTGGAGCCCATAGACATCCACAACATAAATGCGCCACCCATCTTGAGATATTAGTTCTGAGGTCTCACGTATAGTTACAACGGCTGCTCCACCCTTCAAACCGAAACGCATTACTGCTTCACGGCAGAAATAGGCAGGGTGGTGGTATCCACCCGCGCGGACTCACAAGAGGTCCTACTACCAGTAATTATGCGAATTATAATTTTGCGGGTTACATTTTTATTACACGATGTTATTCCTTCACCGTGGAAGTCAATCGTAAACATTTGTTGGGTACGTATTTCATTAGAAAAATTGGTACCCGCCTGAGATTCGAACACTGGCGCATCGCTCAACACGAATGCACCGGACGTCTTATCCGTTAGGCCACGACGAAAAAAAAAAAAAAAACAAGAAACAGGTAGTACCTAAACACGGATGTACCCTTTAACTGCTAACTTATGAAGCTGTTTGTTTGCACACAACGCAGACCACTAGGTAATATGTTGCGAATGGAATTCAAAAGCATATGTGTTTGATTAGCACAACACTATTTTCAGGTAGACAACGCTTCAAACCGAAACATCATCGTATATTTGTTTCGTAATATACATAAGCCGGCGGTGGCACCAAGCATATGGAGCTACCGCACGCCATCTAACTATAGTTTTATTTACTGGCATTTAAACTCTACAACCGTTTAGTATTAGTTGAAATAAAGACATGGGCGGGTCCGAACGGTATGCTAATAATGGTAGACCCTCCACAGGAACAGATAGCAGATGTTTTTGGATTGGACGAAGCAGTAAGAAGCAATACGTTGGTCGTGTGGGCTTTCAATATGCCCTATTACCAGTTCCGAGCTTTATTTAATCATATCAAAATTTATTTTCAATATATTTTTTCATTTTTTTAAATATTCGTTAATTAATGTTTAATGATACTTACTCTTCTATAACTTGCTATTTACGCTCAGAGCATCTTCACACAATGTGCTGTACTTAACCTACTAATATCACAAGTACATCAATCATCCTTGCGAACTTTCATAATCAAACTAGGGTAACCAATAAAATACGAATCATTAATTTTGTGTTTGAATTGTTAAAAGAAGTAATTAAATTTTATTTTTTATAAATAAAGTTAATTACCTAAAACCTGATTCCAAGCAGCGGCAAGAGTACTGTTTCCTCCGTGCGACAGCACCTCACACCCGGCGCACACTACGCGACGCAAGTTATCAAATTATTAAAGTGGTTTTGCATTAATTAGTTGTACGATTGCGCGTTCCGGAACTGAATGAGGGGAGGGACAGCTGCGGCCGCCAGACTACGAGTTTATAATGAATATAACGCACGGCCTCCGCACACGCGGCCCTCGTGCGCCCTACTCTTGGCAAGAAGTTGGACATGCACCTGAATCCATGCATCAGCCCTCTGAGTTTCTCGCGGAATCTTCTCAGCGGGTCGCGATCCCGACGCGGTAATAGACCTATTTGCGAAGCAACTGCTCTCGAGTTGTTAGGTCTCCTTCGGAGGCGCTCGGGCAGCTGTTAGCTAATCCCTTCCCTCCTGGCTGAGCATTTGCTTGCCCTGGTTAAACTGGAGAGGCCTAGGAGCCATCAGTAATTCTTCCTTCCTAAAAATAAATTAAATAAAAAAACCTAGTCCCGCGTCTTGTTGTAATACATTAGTGTACAACAAAGAAAACAATAAAAGAAGCAACTTATTGCTATTTGTAACAACGAAGCTCACATGTTGGTGATCCTGTGTTTCTCCTGTTTGAAATGTCAACAACTATACTAAGTCTCGTCGCAATTCATTAAATAGAAAAGAATACAAATGTTATGAATAAGCAAAGAGCTCGACAAAGTCAAGTGCCCAAGTAATAGCGCGGGTCGGGCGCCCCGCGGGCGCTCACTTAGCATCAGACGGGCCGCGTGCAGCGTCATACCACGCACTCTCCGTATCGTCTCATCTCTTAACAATCTTCTGTAGAAGTTCGACAAATAAAGACATTTAAATTGCGGTAACATTCATTTAATTAATGACTATTCTAAAACATCAATCCTAATGTAATCAGAATCATTTTAAAGAACAATTCAAAACTGTTCACAGAAATGTTATTTTTATTTGGAATACATAATACAGATTTCGAAAAAAAATATTTATCTTTCGTTAAACTTAAACTATGGTAACACTACACTAACGCACCTTTGGCAACGAATACTGTTTAATGTTATATTATACAATAAATTAATTAATAAATAATTAACAATAACTCGATCAAGCCCCAGGGCTTTTCCGGGACACGTGCTGGGTCGACCTTCGCCTGAAGTCAGCAAGCTCACAGATTTACATTCATCACAATATCCCTCGTGAATGAAAAACAGTAGGCAGCGGCTTGGATCTTGACATTCCTGACGTCCATGGATAACCACTCATCATCAGGTGGACCGTACGCTCGTGGCCGTCTGCCTACAACAGCAATAAAAAAAAAACTAGAACAAAAATGGGGGTCATTGACTGCTGTGTACTCGTCGTCTATGTGTGTCCACGGACATCGGCCAGGACTTGAAAAAACAAAAAATAACAATCGTATCTTCAACAAGTTTTCCGTTTTTATACCGTAAGAGTTAAGAAAAATCGCTTTTACTTCTTACATCATAAAGTTCAATTTATATTTATGACTAATATTATATATTACGTTTTGAGAAAAATACATTTTAGGTACTGTTACTATACTTATGTGATGTGACGTACTTCGTGTATAATAGATACTTTATCTTTAGGCCAAAATGACTAATAAATACTAAAAAAATAAAATTTCAAAAGGGTCACAAACTCATGACGTTTCCGAAACATTTAGATCCACGTTCAGACATAGGTGAGCTTATGTGCTCAGCGGTGAGCACTCGCACAGACGCGTTAGTGTTCTTTAAATAATACAAAGTACGCCCACGGCCTAAAGATTGAGAATCCGTCTGTTTCTTCCTTCCAATCCAGGGCCCAGCGAATAGCTGATCCAAGTATAGACTCTTCGTTATTACTTATCTTATGAATAATTTCATATCCCTGTACCATCGTTAGCGTTGTCTCCCTCACACCAACGTTATCCTAGCCTCTCCGCTCATGCACGCTCATTAAAGTAATTACAAAACATGAATTGAGAAACATAAACCAAGACTTTTGATCCCAACAACAGGTCCAAGAAGCAATTATTGATTAATAATTAAGAACTGTTGTCCTTTTTGTAATAATACCATATTATATTGGATCGGGGATTTTTTGTATTGACATAAGCTACATTGTTTAGATTAATTGCATAAAGAGCTTGATGAACATATTCTATGATATCAACCAAACCCGGACCATGGATAGACCGTGACGTCACAGCACGCGAGCCAGGCGCTAGAGGGGTGCGGGTGCGAGCGCGGGTGGGTGCGGGGGCAGGGGCTGACGTCACAGGCGCGCCAGCAGCGCGGAGAGCAACAGCAGCGCGGCGCCGCCCACACCCGGCCGTCCCGACGACGACAGAATGCCCTTCCCTGGAACATTCACATCACCAACGAACTTATTTTTATTTTTTATTGCTTAGATGGTTGGACAAACTCACAGCCCACCTGGTGTGGTCACCGGAGCCCATATTCATCTACAACGTAAATGCCACTACCCGCCAGGTATCAGTATAGTTACAACGGCTGCCCCCACCCTTCAAACCAAAACGCATTACTGCTTCACGGTTGAAATAGGCAGGGTGGTGGTACCTACCTGTGCGGACAAGAGGTTCTACCACCAGTAATTACGCAAATTATAATTATTCAGATTTGATTTTTATTACATTAGAAAAATTGGTACCCGCCGGCGACTAGGACGAGCACTGCTGAGTTACTTAATGACACAAACAAATACATATCGTACTATTTTGCTACGTTTTTGATCGTTGTAGCTGGCAAATACACTTATGGCTCCCCTTCTGATAAACGGGTACCACAATCCAAACAATTTTTAAACAGAAATACTTCCTCTTCTGTTAATAAGTGCAAGTACTCACATCGCTCAGCTAACTTTCTGTAGCAACAGCAGTCTCTGAGCCTCGCGTATCGCGCGCAGTCGTGAGCCAGTGGCCGGCAGCGGTTGGGTCCGACATAGCAGGTGTGCGGCAGCCAGGGAAACGGCTCGGGTAGGAAGCGCCTCTCGCAGCAGCAGTGGTCGGCCAGCACGCGCGTCTCGCAGTACTCCAGCTCTTTCTTGGTGCAGGTTCCGCATCCAGGTCTCGTTACTGGAACTGAAGAAAAACATTTAAATGTCATTGCTACTCTTTGCCTTCAGTACACGCTCAATCACAATTTCAAGAATACTTTAGATCATTGAAAAAAAATATTTCTTGACTTTTACTTTTCATTTTATACAGAACGAACTTATAAATCTAAAAACTGGAATTGTCTTATCGTGAAAACTAAAGTCCCAAAAAAATACCAGAGCTCAAGATTCATTTGTATTATTTATTTACATTTTCAGATTTAATATACCGCTGTGCTATCGTCTCGTAATTATTCAGCGAATCTAATGACGACCTTGCATAATTTCGCAGAGGGAATGTTTAGGAGCCCATTTAAAAATTAAGAATTATCGTCGCCTTTTCGCGGCTTAGTTTAAATAGAACAAGGGTTCCCAAACTTATTTTGTCTACTGCCTACTTTGAAAATAAATTACTTTTTGCGCCCCATTTTTTCATCTACCTAAGAACCACTATAGCGAGAGCTCAGTCGGTGTCTAAATCCTCCTAAATGAAGTTACAGATCGCCTCCCAAGCCTCTACACAACTCCCCCACTTTTTTCTGGGTCCGCCCCCCCTTTAGGCCTGCAGAGCCCACAAGGGGGCGCTATCGCCCACTTAGGGAAAGGCTGAAAGAGAAGCACCCACTTTCAGGCTAGAAAGCTAATATTTTGAATTACCTAAGTTTTCCTCTGGCCTACCTATAATAAATAACATGATGGTCAACACAATCAGCTATCAGCCACCAATATACCAAGGATATGAATTTTTTTTATAAGACGTGTCTATTCTGGGACAAGATATCGCCTAATTGAATTGTAATTGTTAAGGTGACGTCACTAGCAACGGACTCCATATGAAATTGAACAATGGGCCCGGTGGCATCCGGTCACGTTATCGAATTAGCAATATCAGTTTATTGGTTTTCATACCACGAACCGTAGATTAGTCTGATGCAGTCATGTCGGCTAAGTTTTGTTACCAAATTTGTAGTCTTGGGATTTCTCTTTGAAAAGTATAATTTGAAATGCCAAAATTTAAAAAAATTGACCACGTCTTTGTTTCGTCCGTTCGCCACCATAAAAACGAAATATTGTATTACTTTTAAATAAAGTGTTTATAGTGAGAATAGTGGGCCCTAAAATCCTTGGGCCCGCGATCTGCTCTCAACACCTGCAGATCGTTGAGTCTCACATACCCCGCGCGCCCCCTAGGCGCGGGGACCTCGTAGGAGGTTCGGCCCCGGCCCGAGAAAAAAAAAAAAAAAAAAAACATTAAAATTTAATGATGTTGACAGATCAGAGTCGAAATGAAGTTCACTTGACATACCAACACATTCCTAACAGCCAACTATGATTATCAATGAATATATGCTATTGACATAGAAGTTACAAGCAAACCCATTCTGTAATGAGCTTAGAAAAACAGCAGCAGGCTGGTGCTTGCTCGTGCCCCTGGAATCACAACCTAACCACCACTATCACACCTGCGAAATTAATGTAACTGACTTGACAAGTCACGCGTCTGTAGCCTCGTAATGAAAAGTAGCGTCAAAGGAGCGTGTACATATCCAAAATTAATATATGTCATTCAAATTTTTTTCCTAAAGAAAATTACTAGTTTATCAATCCAACTTCAAGACCAAGGTTGTTTAGAGGGCTCGTCACAGCAATGTAAGCACTGAATGTCATGTCATAAGCCTATTTAGTTTCATTATAGTAGTTGTTGGTGAAAAATTGCAGTTTCATTTATGATCCACAGCGCTATTATCAGAATGCATGAAACATCATCTGACAAAAGATGACTCTGCAGATATTTACGACTAAGTGTAAATTGTTGGGGAATACTTATCTAACGAAAGCTCGAAAGCTGGTTTGGCGCCTTTTTCGAGAAGACAGTTTGAAGAAGTACGAACCGATAATAATAAAAGTACAAAATCAAAATAACTTGAAATAGTTAATACAGACATAAAGCGCATCGAAAACTGATTTGAAACCGACTTAAAAATATTATTGCAGATCAAAAAAAATTTACACGGAACATGTGTGGTATACAAAACACATAGTAAACCGAAATACCACAGGTTCTGGAATTAGGCATACGGACGAACTGAACAACCCTTTTCTGTATAAAGACAAATAGCAAGTGCTTTAGAACGCCAGCCCAATATCTAATGCGAATTCGGCTTTACCTTCTAAATAAATCCAATATTGAAACGCGAAGAATCCCAAGTTTTTTAAGTTTTCAGGTGTCCCTGGAACTGCAGCGCCTTGACAAAAGGACATTGGAAATTTCCAGAAGCTTTTTCTTGTTCACAGTTTTTTATGAATAGGGGCTAACTGCCGATATCTCGTTTTGCTTATCGTTTCTAAGTTACTTTAATAAATCAGCCCCGCTTATGTTTGACTTTAAGTTTGAGTACATCACGTCGCAGAATGATTAAGGAAATCTATTTGTTTTTCCTTTAACACTATCTGTAACTTTAATTCTTGAAAAAATTGCTACTCGATGTAGTAAAGAATGTTTACAGTTAGTTAACAAGTTTAAATTTGAAATGTCTCAAGGATTTGGGCGGAATTTTTCATCATTTAAATAGAGTTATGAGTCCCGTGACTAGAACAGAGCCGTGACAGTCTGTTTATGAAATAAAAACGCGTGTAAATTGGTTAAGGTACACACATATGTCTGTTATGTTACATACGGTTGTAATAACTCAGATTGTTATAAATTACAGTGTACAAATATTTCCTACAAACTGCCGATCGTCAGTTTAATGATATGCTTTTTAGAAAAACTGACAACATACGAAAATTGATTCGTAGGTACGCAGAGTCTACGCGGCGGCTTCATCATTTAGAGTAGCAAAAACAACTAATGGGGGTTTGTATTAAACAAGCTATTATATATGAAGATCTATCAATAAGCATACTTATTGTACTAGGTATCACTATTAATATCGAGAATATCTATATATTAATACAGACGGAGGAGTATGAAATTTTCCACACTTATAGAGAATATAAAGAAGAAGTGCACAACGCTAATATTTTTTTAAAATAATGCATAGAAGATACATTGAATCAATAAAGAAAACATTACACACTCTACATACCATTTATTTGACGAACACACGCATACATACTATTTATTGTCAAACTTTTGTTCTTGACGTCTGTTGTCAAATTGAGAATAGATTAAATATTGTTTGTCTTTGTTAATATTTTTAATAGTGTAGTCTTGGCGAAATTTGTGATTATAGAAGTATAAAATACAATCATAATAGTGTACAAACTTACAATTCCAATTAATTATAGTCGAATTTCGACTACTGGTGGTTTCGACGACTATTTGGTGGTAGGACCTCTTGTGAGTCCGCGCGGGTGGGTACCACCACCCTGCCTATTTCTGCCGTGAAGCAGTAATGCGTTTCGGTTTGAAGGGTGGGGCAGCCGTCGTTACTATACTTGAGACCTTAGAACTTGTATCTCAAGGTGGGTGGCGCATTTACGTTGTAGATGTCTATGGGCTCCAGTAACCACTTAACATCAGGTGGGCTGTGAGCTCGTCCACCCACCTAAGCAAAAAAAAAAAAAATACTGCGGGACCTCTAGTAGATATAAAGTCCATCACAAGATTTTTTATTAAACGATTTTTTTTTATTGTATTTATAGTGTTTCAGCAAATTCTATTACGAAAGACGAATATTGTCGTTTTACTGGTTGCGCGGGAAGGCGTAACCATGCTAATCTAGTTAGTTTAGAGATGAAATTAGTCCAACTATACGACTCTAATGTCGAGAAATTACAATAGTCTCTCAGACCAAAACCGACAACAATGTACATCTCAATAATTGTTGATCCGTAATCTGTCGAGCAACTAATTAGTCGGCAGTGCAATGAGTGAGGCGCGGCCTGTCGCCTTGGTGTGTCGCCAATTACATGTTTACCGAGTTCCAAGCTATTGTCACTTGGAACATTGTGTATTGTGATGTAGATTACTAGTTACCACTACAGCATGTGGCAATTTACATCATTCTCTTATACTGGACGTCCTGATTAAGGCAATATTTTCATATATTATTTGTTCCACGATAATACATAGTCAGGTCATAAATTCTGTCACATGTTTAATGTAAAATAATTGAAACAAGTTTATTCATTATGTAACCATTCATATACCAAAATGAACTTAACAAAACATAGATTCTTATGACATTAAAGTTTATTCAAAATGACCTTCGTGATTTTGAATACAGGCCTTCAATCTGCGCGGCCAGTCGTCTATCGCAGCACGAACGAGGTCCATGTCAATATCGGCGGCTGCCTTAATCAAGGATGTCTTGAGTGACTCCAAATTGGGATGAGGCTTTGAGCACGCCTTTTCCTCCAAGTGTTGCCATATCTTGTAATCTAACGGATTCAAATCTGGACTGGAGGAGGGCCAGTCTTCGTGCCGGATGAAGTCGATTTCACGCGCCGCCAGCCAGTCTTGTGTGCTCTTCGCTCTATGAGCTGGCGCCGAATCTTGTTGGAATACCCAGTGCCTGTTATTGAACATGGTATGAGAAACAGGTTCCACAAGGTTCGTCAGGACTGTATTTTGATACACAACTGCATTCGTTTTTACACCTTTCTCACAAAAATGTACCTCTGTTAAGCCCCAATAAGAAACTCCCAACCATACCATGAGCGAGGATGGAAAATGACCTCGTTGGACACGCGGAATACGGTTGCTCGCTTCTTCACTACTGTGTGCGTACACCTTATCATTTTGTTTGTTGTAGCTCTCTTCTACGGTAAAAATTTTTTCATCCGAAAAAAGAATTTCCCGATATTTTTTTCCCGCGTACCGCTTCAACAAAGCGCGGTATCTCTTCAGTCTCAGGTCCATTAGACGAGCATTCAAACGATTTCCTGTTTTTCTTCGATATGCCCGAAGCCCTAATCTTCATTTAACACCCTTTTCACCGTGGTTCTGCTTAACCCCATCTGAAGGGCCAACTGTTTCTGCTTACGTTTGGGATTTCTTTGAATTCGCGCCTTCACAGCTTTTATCACTGCTGGAATCCTAACAGACCGAGGGCGACCACTTCTTGACCTGTCATCTACACTAGAGTCTTCATTGTATCGTTTGATGGTACGATAAACGAATCTTTTGGCTATATTCAAATTTTTCAGTATGTTAAAAATTTGAATTGGCGCGTAACCGCAACGATGCAACGCAATAACTGCAACACGGTCTTCTTTAAGCGTCCACTCCATATTTATAAATGAGTAAAATTCTAAATGTATACTATTTTTATTTTCATGAACAATTCGAAATTCGAATTCAATAAACTTTTTTGTGGCCAGCATTATAAAGAAAAGTTTTTACTGTGTGACAATACTTACGACCTGACTAGGTATACGCACTCATTAATCTTGACTCAGACTAACACTCACGGTTCAAAACCATTTTTTAGAAATTATTCTCAAATTATATTATATATTTTTTTTATTGCTTAGATGGGTGGACGAGCTCACAGCCCACCTGATGTTAAGTGGTTACTGGAGCCCATAGACATCTACAACGTAAATGCGCCACCCACCTTGAGATATAATTTCTAAGGTCTCAAGTATAGTTACAATGGCTGCCCCACCCTTCATAATTCTAATTGCGCTGAATTGTGTAGGTTAATACTCTAATGATCAAATGTTCTCTATCCTAGTCTAAACAAAGTTATTTAACCTCGTTTTGATTATTAGATTTAACAAGAACAGAGGAAGAACTGTAGCATATATTTTCTCGACATTTTGATCCCTGTGGATCTTTTGCGGCATTCCTCTATTCACAGCTCCTCATAGCCAAACACCTTTCGAGAAAACTACGTAACAATATAAAAAATTTTAGATTTCTATTTCTGCCGTGAAGCAGTAATGCGTTTCAATTTGAAGGGTGGGGCAGCCGTTGTACTGTTAAAAGTGAGACCTTAGAACTCATGTCTCAAGGTGGGTGGTGGCATTTACGGTGGGCCGTGAGCTCGTCCACATCCCTAAACAATAAAAAAACAAAGAAAAAAATAGATTAGAGCTTATCAATTAAGATCATTAATACACAAAATATCTAATCAGATGTTCCGCTAGCCGTCTAATTAAGTGATGCATATGTTTGACTTCTACCGCGCAGGCTTGGTCCTAGCCCCATTCGAAAATCTCCAACAATCAAATGTAGCAGGTGGCTCATTATTCGCGAAGCCGTATATAGGTACCTCTGGCCTTATAATTGGGGTTGTCCTTTAATCCTACCATCGTGACCTCGTGCTATATGCGGACGCGTCGTCACACGCCGCTAATTAATGACTCAAGTAATTGTTGCGTTTCATTCAATTGCTTTCTTGAAGTGGAAGAGCAAGTCGAAAGCTTTGTTTACAAAAATGAAGCAAACGGCCACCAGTACAAAGGTACTCCTTATGTAATTGAGTAGGGTAGAGTATGCTTCATTGTGCAACAATTTAAAATCAAAACATTCACGTAATAATTTTGGTAATTGGTATAGTAATTACAGCAATGAATAAGAATCTTTTTGTGAAAATATTGTTTTACTGTATGGCTGTTTGAAATATTATGACTTTATTAGACATAGACATTAGAAATAAAAATATATGTAGGCTTTAAGTGATTTTCTGAAAATATATGTAGGCTTTAAGTGATATCCACGATCCTATTTATCTCTTGACAATCTATCGACTGATCAGTAGCACAAACTTCATTCGCACACTGACCAAAAGTCAGTTCAACCTGCTCAAATGGGTATTTTATATAAAAACACAAAACAGTGTGAATATACGATCACTTTCTGGTGCTCGCCAGTTCTGTGCTATGACAAATAGAAATTTGTGTTAAATAGTTACTAGAGCCCATAGACATCTACAACGTAAATGCCCGCCTTGAGATAAGTTCTAAGACCTCAGTATAGTTACAACGGCTGCCCCACCCTTCAAACCGAAACGCATTACTGCATCACGGCCGAAATAGGCAGGGTGGTGGTACCTACCCGCACGGACTCACAAGAGATCCTACCACCAGTAAGTCTAATGGTTTTCGGGTTGTTTCATAATGCCGTTTCCAAAACTCGCCAGTCCTACTAGTAGATTAACTCACTGTCTTCCACGTTCAGAGCCCTGGCAGCCTTCCTCGCGTCTCCAGTAGACACGTCATGCTCGACGAAGTACTCCTCGTAGCGCACCTCGAGCAGCGTGTCCGCCCACTGCTCCGTGTCATTGTTGCGCGTCACATTCGCCCTCCCTGTGCCCACCGGCTTCGACGCTGCTGCGTGTCTTACCTGCAAGAAAAACTTCATATATATCATTTGAAGATGGCATGACATTTTTAGACATTTTTATTAATATTTCAACAAATAGTACTGTTTTTTTATTATTATTATTATTGTATTCCATTTTCGAGCCGATGAATTGCCAATGCTATGTACGCCATTGTTGTCACATGCATCAGGCCATAAATTAAATAGTTTAAATTTATTTTCAATGTTAGATGTTTGTGATGTGGCAGTACTTATTTAAATAAATAAATAAAGATGGGGCACACCCCAGTATTTTCGGTTTGTTGAAACTTTTTTTTACTGTTTAGATGGGTGGACGAGCTCACAGTCTACCTGGTGTTAAGTGGAGCCCATAGACATCTACAACGTAAACATTTGTTGAGTACGTATTTCATTAGAAAAATTGTTACCCGCCTGGGATTCGAACACCGGTGCATCGCTCAATACGAATGCGCCGGACGTCTTTCTTATCTTTTGGGCCACGACAACTCAGACGTAATGTCAAGTGTGTGTAGAGGTCTGATAAAGCACAGATGCATTACAACTCAATCTTTACCAAATACAGATTTTATATACTCTACGTACGTTTAGGAGTGCTCACGATGGCACCCGTCTGTTGAAATTGTACTTAATAATGAATTTAATACTAAAAACATGAGAAGATTATTTACTGGTGGTAGGACCTCCTATGAGTCCGCACGGATAGGTAACACCACCCTGCCTATTTCTGTCGTGAAGCAGTAATTCGTTTCGGTTTGAAGGGTGGGACAGCCGTTGTAACTATACTGAGACCTTACAACTCATATCTCAAGATGGGTGGCGGCATTTACGTTGTAGATGTCTATGAGCTCCAGTAACCACTTAATACCAGGTGGGCTGTGGGCTCGTCCAACCATCTGTGCAATAAAATAAAATAAAAATATTAAATTAATAATAAAAATAGATTAAACATAGGACAGAATATCCAAAATAAGAAATTTGATGTTTTTGTCATTAGTAAAATATCATCTGAGGAATAGCTGTTTAATCAAAAATAGATTTTCGTGTGTAATCTTTTTTTTTATATACGTTACGATAAAGTGCATACCGCATTAGTATTAAATCAATAATAAGAAAATTAATGTTTTGACACATGCAAGGTTTTAGTATTTCGTTAGGAAATAAGTTAGGCGGTTTTCGAAATTCAAATTCAAACCCCTACGCAATGTTGCCCCGCCAAGACATCTAGACCAATTACATTAAGTACCAACCAACACTTCAGGTACTCTGAAGATAACATCACAACATGCAGGCTGGAGTAGTGCCAGTAGTACGGCAGTGAAGCATGCGTGGAGAAATCTTCGTGTCCACATAACATTCCTTGTCTTCTGCGCCTTATCAGCTGCGAGAGATAAAAATAATTAAACTTGTATTTTGACAGATACATGGATCGCGCGAACAACTATTTCAATATAAGTTTGCATATACTCGTATAGCTGAGACCATCAGTCTAACAAGCAATATCATCCGCTCAGTAGAAAATCTTCCCTTCCGTTTCTTTCAAAATTCCGTCTTGGCTTTTTACAGTCACAATACCCGCCAATCGCCTCGGTAGCAAAGCCTGTTTAGCGAGAACATCGCAATAAGTCAGCACATTGCCGGAAATCGTTCATACTATCAGCATGGGTGTCTAATTCTCCGGAGCAACGCGGCATAGTCCGAATTCCATGACAGACGAACCAACTTTATTGCTTACTATCCCAAGCACGTCGTATTAACCTCATATGGAATGCTTAATGAGTGGAAAGAACTGCACACAGTACGTGCGGAACTGCACGACACATGAATGTCATTCTCGAAACCTTTCGCTGTTAGCTCTTTTCAACTGGTAGGGTCTAGCCCATGGGTGCAGTACACATGTCTCATTCAAGACGTCAACTTAACCCGTGTAAACCCAGGTAGACTATGAGTTCGTCTGCCAATCTAGATCCGTATGATAACTTTAATCTGGGAAGGGTCATGCACAAATCAATCGTCATAATATTCACTTTAATATTCACTTTGTCTCTTTTTGATTAACAATAAACAAACAGACAAAAAGCAGACGAGAAAAGCTTAACAGAACTAAGAAGGGCTTAACAGCATGGTTGACGCCCTAGTCTAACAATGGACAATTGTGTACTGTTGACGATAAGTATTATACTATATTCTGTGTACGCTATGGAGGGTATCATATTTGAAGCTGAAAAAATTGCTGACAATTGGTATACCGCCTAAGAAGTTTGTTGAGTCACGTTGATCACCTTAGTTGATCACGTCGGGTTCACCAGTGTTGAGTCTCTAAATCGGGCAAGGATTAATAAGATACGTGGCCATTAAGTGACTAAAGTATATTCGGATTACAATCTCACGTGCTATCGACAGCTCGACAGTCCCAAGACTGACGTAGCATCACTGCAATATAATTATCGCTAACATATACATTTTAATAGTTGCTATGGGGACATTTGTGGTCCCTAGAGGTTATTCCAAGTACACATAGGCTGGTAGGCGAGTTCACAGGCTCATCCTAAGTGAGTTGCTAACACTGGCCCTAGCAAAGCCAGTGCTTCGCAAAATCTACCACCAGATCGGAATCGCGACTCACTGAAATGATCCGGCAAGAAAGTCAATGGGCAACAGAGGAGTATTGAATATTTTATGCCACGTATTTAACGCTAAGCTTTAATTCCTCCGTAGTTTAAAACATAATTCATTTGAAATGGTCTAATTCTTATCTAACATCTCTATTAAGTTGTTAGTGCATAGAACTAGCTGTTTTTTTAATGCAACGGTTATTTTATGACTTTGTTCCAATTTATCTTTTGATGTTTATGTTAAAATATGGATGTAGAATAAACTAAAATTTAACTCGGGTTGATTTTACTTAAAACGTTTTTGTAGCTTACTATAATTGAATAGAGAAATATTCGAATATTCTGGCTGACAGCCAATGAGAAGAGATGGGTATGCGCAACCCTGCCATTCACCACTAACTAATACTTTTACCTATTGAACTTGGTGAATGGACGACCACGGCAAAATGGTGCTAAATGATTACTTCACATTTTGAAAGGAGAAGTTGAAGTTCTAATCGTACTGTACGAAAACCTTGAAATAGGAGCGGACAACTGTTTCGCGGCAGAATTATGCTAGATGGTACCATTATCATTTCCGTGCGGACTCAAAATATGCTCTTCCATGAGCAATGATTCCTCTATGTCTAGTAAACGTTTGCTACTGGAATACTACTCTTAACAACTCAAACATAGAAAGTTAAACTTACCAACCAAATTAATCAGCAAGTTAATATTCTTTATTTTCTACTATTCAATTATTCTCTTATTTTAATTTTTTTAAATTGTATTTTTGACTTTTTTTTTCGTTTAATGCAAATATTTTTATTTATATAAAAAAATTTTTTTTGGGAAAAACCAAAAAAAACCCGCTGATTTTCTTTCGCCTGTTCTTCTCCGGACTGTGGCTTTTTTGGAACCGGTGGTAGAGTTAACATTGTTATTTCGATGCCTCCAATTAACACTACGCTAGCTCCGAATTCTTAGATTTACAGGAGGAGCGTTTAAACGAAAAAAGTTAATAAAATCTTTATTATTGCACATAATTTATCGTTTTTTTGTGTAGCTAGCTGATTTACTCTTACTTCGAACCCCATCAATAATGATTAATTGTAATACTTTGAACATAGTGAAGCGATTTGCATGAAAAACGAAAATTTCAAAATTTTGAGTTAGAGTAGTGTTCATTGGAGGCATCGATTTATATTTTGACATTCAACAAGTGTGTTATACTGACATCTAAGTTGAAATAAATGATTTTGAATTTGAATTTGAAAATAAAATTGCTAATGTTGTATCAACTAAAAAAACTAGCACTAGATAATTCAATTAAACTAAATTTGTAGGTATTTACGGAAAGAGGACTATAAGCTCCGCCATTAAAATGCAAGTCACGTCCTAAGGGCTCCGTGAATGTTGTGAATTGAGGAGTTATTGGGCCAGTGGAGCGACGACCTAAGACAGGAGACGTGCTTTGTTAAACTAAGCTACATAGGCGACACTGAAAATTTCGGGAATTAACGAAGTGACACAACATTACTATTTAAAAATGTATTTATTGCTTTTCGAAGTATTCTCCGCGAAATTTGACACATTTTTCCATACGATGGAACCAATCATTGAAGCAACCATTCCATTCGGAAGTTGGGGTCTCCAAAATGGCCGTTTTGTAGGCGTCTACAGCTTCTTCAGGTGATGAAAATCTCTGTCCACGCAATTTATTCTTTATTTTAGGGAAAGTATAGAAATCATTAGGGCTTAGGTCGGGGCTGTACGGCGGATGGTCTAATAATTCTATGTTTTCTTGCTCTAAAANAATGAGCTCCCCTCCACGGTGTTTCCCGAGCGCTATGACATGTCCTTCTTCAAACGAGGCTTGTGGAGAGTATTAAGCGGTAGGCAGCGGCTTGGTTCTGCCCCTGGCATTGCTGAAGTCCATGGGCAACGGTAACCACTCACCATCAGGTGGGCCGTATGCTCGTCTGCCTACAAGGGCAATAAAAAAAAAAAAAAACTCAAACATAGAAAGTTAAACTTACCAACCAAAATAATCAGCAAGTTAATATTCTTTATTTTCTACTATTCAATTATTCTCTTATTTTAATTTTGCAAAATTAATTTTAATTATTTTAATTTTGCGTTTATTGCAAATATTTTTACTTATTTAAAAAAATTTTTTTTTTTGTGAAAAATCAAAAAAAAAGCCCGCTGAGTTTGTTTCGCCGATTCTTCTCAGGACTGTGGCTTCTTTTGGAACCGGTGGTAGAGTTAACATTGTTATTTATATTTTGATATTCAACAAGTGTGTTATACTGACATCTAAGTTGAAATAAATGATTTTGAATTTGAATTTGAATATAAAATTGCTAATGTTGTATCAACTAACAAAACTAGCACTAGATAATTCAATTAAACTTAATTTGTAGGTATTTACGGAGAGAGGACTATAAGCTCCGCCATTAAAATGTAAGTCACGTCCTAAGGGCTCCGTGAATGTTGTGAATTGAGGAGTTATTGGGCCAGTGGAGCGACGACCTAAAGCAGGAGACGTGCTTTGTTAAACTAAGCTGTTACAAAACTTATGATATTGTTAAAAAAATATAAAACAAGGATGATCATAGGCTTAGAGAACAAAGATTATACAAATACGTTAATTATCAATATTCATTATGTAATTCAAATCTATCAAAAACTGAAATACTTTTAACTGGTAGGCAGTAATCGAAGTTACACAGTCCTGCCGATAAAAAAATCCGCAATTTGGGAAGAAAAAAATTGAGGTGTCAATGTTTTTTAAGAGATTTACGTGATTCCAGCGAATTTCCACTGAAGGTTGAGTTTTTGTGTCCACAATCTGTTCAATCTGTTTTGCTTGAGCGGTCGCGGTGATTTAACAAGAAATTACATTTTTTTGACTTCTTATAGTTTGTGTACCGACGCCGCTGTCGCAAACCTTGAATTGAAGTTTGATTTCGATTGAAAAGATTAGAGTAACGCCTATGACACTGCGATGTAAGATTACATAATTTTTTCGAAAGAAATATTTCGAGGGGTGAAAGATATTTGGTTTAATAGCCTAAATTATTTATTAATTAATATTTATTAATTAATACGCGACATTGATGGTTGTAACTAAAGGTCCGTTTTATTTGGAATCAGTATCTGATTTCGACTTCGACAATTCAATGTTTTTAGTTGAACCCCAATTAAGTTTACCCCATTCAAAAACTGTAGAAGTTTTGTTTGTTATATTTTTATCAAGTTTTGAACTTTAAATGGCTTTCCTGTAAAGTTGCAAAAATGACGGATAAACCAGATTTTCTTTCACCCCTCGTTTTAATCAAGTCGAAGATTCGGCATGTAATCTTTTTACATAGATGTGTGGACGAGCTCACGGCCCTACCTGGTGTTAAGTGGTTAACGGTGCCCACAGTCCCCAACAACGTTAAAGCCGCCGCCCAACTTGACACATAAGTTCCAAGTCTCAGTTTTATTTACAGCTGCGTCGTCCTTCAAACCGAAACGCATTTTGTGGTTATGTGGGTCGGCTCGCAGACGCCCTACCATCAGTAAAATCCACAACTGGAGAGATTAAAAGCTTTTGTACTGTAATAAATTGGGACTTTGATCTTCAATGGAGGCGCCACGACCTTCATACTGTATTTATGAGCTCCTAACATTAAGTGGGTCATGGTTTCGTCAGCCTGCCAGAGCAAAATATTGCAATAACGGGCTTACTGATTATTGAAATGGGTGGACGCGGGAATTTGTATTAACATGGGTATGT